CACACACACACCATTCTGTGCGAGTGCTTTAAAGACCACCTGCTCACTGGGGGGCCGAGATTGTGTGTCTCCTCCACATCTGGGGTGACTGCTTTTGCTCCTGGTTGTTCGCAGGAGGTGATAACAGCTTCACACAGATGTTTGTTCTTTCTGAAATATAGGAACAATGCAGTAAGCGCCCGGGGGGGACTTGGGCAGCTCCGGTCACGGTGCTGCTGCAGCATTCTCTGTCAGCCTTCTCCTGACACAGACACAGTCCCTAATACATTGAGCTCAGAAAGCAAGCTGTCAAATACCAGGGGCTTGGAAGAGTGGGGGAATGATTTTCCCCTGAGCTTTTGAAGCCCCTTGTATGTGTAGTAAGAGCCGAGACAGAGCGTAGTAGGACAGACATGTTAGCATTGGTGTGGCCTAGGAGGGACGCTGGTGGCTGATCTCCCGTCCGTGAAGGAGTGGGTGTCAGCTGAACGTGGTGCAGGGGACAAGTATCCGTCCCCACTCTCTCTATGCACTTGGTCAGAGAGCAGTAAGAATGGCTATGAGCTAAGGCCAGTTGTGCTTCCTTTAGTTACGAAGGGACAGCTTTTTTCTGCTGACGCCCATCTGGAAGTCGTTTCTGTGAGCTCCCCAGCAGTGAGCTTGTGTGTGTTGTGGTCGTTCCCACTATCCCACAGAGAAGCAGGGGCCGGTTCATGTAGCAAGCAAGTCCGTGATGTTGACCTCAAACTGCGCAGGTGTGGGCAATGTTGTCACATAGAGCAGGACCTGTGTGCCAGATGGTCCACCGAGCTCCCAGGACCACTCAGAGCTAAAGTGCAATTGTAAAAGTGTAATTGTAGCCATCTCAGTCTTACGGCGATATCAATGTAGCATGTGACTGATGCCAGTACCCCTCTACCCCCGATGCAGTATCTCTTTCATTTTCCTGAATGTTGCCGTCTGTGAAGAGCATTCATTTTCAGCATTCTCCTTTAAGTCTCTGATTAATATAAGCTTTTTATGAAATGGTCTCAAAGTAAATGCCCAGTGTGGCACATTGCTTAGCTCAAGAAGCACCGTGTCACCGTCGCTTACCATCCCCCGTCCTCGTGCCCCCTGGGACGTGACCTCACTGTCTGGACTTCTCCCCCCCATGGAGGATGTTGCCCGTCTCTGAGCTTTTAAATCAGCTCACTCATGTTTTGTGATATTTTTTATCTTAAAAGGCTGTTTTCTCTCTATTATCAAATGAGAAGTAGTGTAAATAGTAAGTGGTGAGAGACTGTGATCAAACAGTTATGTAAGCACAATTGTATAAACGCACTTCACCTGCCACTTATGGTCTCTCCGCTGATCTGAAATTGGGTATGACTGGAACAGGAAAATAGAATTAAAGTGAAAGTTGGCATTTCCGTAACAAAACTAAACCACATTTCCTTTTACCACTGGGCATATACATTTTACCCTTTTGAAAATACTGGGTACCCACCCCCAGTTTGCACGAAGCAGTGCTTTACGTGAGTGACGAGCACTGGAGGGCCTGGCATCCTCACAGGGGAGGATACCTGCTGCATGGGGTCTCTGAGCGAGCCAGCCAGCCAAGGAGCTTCCTGGTAGAAGGGCTGTACTTTGACCTGTGCCCACTTTTCAACACGTGGTCTCTAGAAATGGCAAGTAAGAGACAGCGTAGTGTGGAGAGATTGCCTTTCTGAGTGTTTCTTCGTTTCCTGGAGAGCTGGAGAGGGGAACTGCTCGGTCGCCTTCTTCAGCAGTGTGTCACCTGTGTAACTGAAAGTCTCTTGCCATTCGTCTCACGCACACGGTTTAGGTAAGAGGACCCCTTGGAGGGGCATCCTGCTCTTCGGACCGCCCGGCACAGGAAAGTCCTACTTAGCCAAAGCTGTCGCAACAGAAGCCAACAACTCCACGTTTTTCTCCATATCTTCCTCTGACCTGGTCTCCAAGTGGCTCGGTGAAAGTGAAAAGTGAGTAGCAAACTGATTTTATTATGATTATGATTACGTTGGGGGGGGGGGGTGTCTGACATTTACATGTATTAGAGGTCAGAGGTGAGGGAGGTATTTAGGATCGTGTCATAAAGGGAAAGCATCTTTAAGAGTTGAGCAGGCTCTGAAGTGGTCACTTCCTTACATCGTTGCCAACAGACATTCAGAAAAGTCAGAGCTATATTCATACTTCTGTCACGTCAGATCCGAGTCTAGACTTCTTTCAGAAAGAGGCGATAACAGGCGGATGATGTCTGTAGAGTACCCAGTGGTGGTAGTGTTCTGTGCCTTGAACAGTCATGTGAAAAGCATGGTTGGTGTTTCAGTTCATGGGATTCCTGTAATACGTTGCTATCACATTGCTTTAGTCTTTTCATTCGGTCCTTTTTTTTCCTAGTTGCCTTTTAGAAATTGCAAGTGTGTGTTTATTTCCAGGCTTGTTAAGAACTTATTCCAGCTTGCGAGAGAGAACAAACCTTCCATCATCTTCATCGATGAGATCGACTCGTTGTGTGGATCAAGAAGTGAAAATGAAAGTGAAGCCGCACGCAGAATTAAGACTGAGTTCCTCGTTCAGATGCAAGGTAGGGTTATTGATTGTTGTGGATGTTTCTACCTATTTTATAAACAGGATTGTAGCAAAAATGGGCTGCTCATTCAGGGAGAACTGTTTCATTGTTACCAGCTCTGCTGCTTCCCCTACCAGGCTTCATTCTGCTGGGGCCCTGGGCTGCTCACCCAGTTAGGATGGTCTTGTAGGACTCGCTGGTATCAACAGAACAACTTTCTTGTGTTGCATGCTGGGAACAATATTGGCAAAAGCAATATGTAGAGTTCACGTGAAACCTTCCAAGAAAGATTTTGCAAAGACTATTAACTATTTGTCCACACTTGAGATTGAATCCTGGAAATGTTTTTAACCCAATTCGGTAAGATGGTATTTGATTAAGTACAGTGTATTCAAGCGGCGGTGGCTTTATCATTGAGGAACCACTGTTCTTAACAGGGCCTGCAGACAGGCTTCAAGAGCACAGAAAAGTCCAACTACTTAAAACACTACCTATTTTGATGCAGGCGTTGGTGTGGACAATGACGGAATTTTGGTCCTTGGAGCTACAAACATCCCCTGGGTTCTGGATTCTGCCATAAGGCGAAGGTAGGATGACACAGTCAATGTCTTGTTCCTATAAATGATGCTCCCTGCTGTGTCTTGTGAGGGAGCTGTTCTGATTGAGTTAAGGGTGTTTTTTATGGGCCGTGCCTTGTGGACCGCTGCCTTGGAAAAGAGAGAAGTTTGTCCGTTTGTATATTTATCATAGTGAAGAAATGTGATGTCCACATACTAGAATAATTCATTATGGGAAATACGTTACCTAATGATCACCTTAGTCCTGGAGGGGCACAAAGGGTTTATGCGCACTTGGTGGCATAGTATGTTACACAAGATCAGTTCAAAGCCACGAGCCACTCTTTAGGAGAAAGATGAGGCTTTCTACTCCCATAAAGATTGACAGCCTTAGAAACCCACAGGGGCAGTTCTGGTCTTCTCTGCAGGGACGGTGAGTCAGAATCAACTACATTGCATTGAGTTTGAGTTTCGCTAACCTCAAAGCTGGCGGTTTGAACTTGCCCAGTGGCACTGCCAAAGAAAGAGCTGGTGGTCTGCTTTCCTCAGCGTTACAGCCACAAAAGCCCTCTGGCATGACTTCCTTTATGTAGCTCATGGGGTCACCGCAGTCAGAATTGACCTGATGGCAGCAGGTTTGTTGGGTTCTTTAGTTGGCTTACCCTAGTGAATATTGATACACTGCTGAAATTTACAAGGGTAGTTTTTGACATGTCAAAATGTCAATCAAATGTCAGAATATCAGTTAAAAACAAAAAGGAGAAAACTAGGATACATTTTCCACTAGTTAGAAAGCTTGTCTCTAACATTTAAATTAAATACGAGACCTCAGCTCTAAGAAAGGTAGAGAGACTCGACTTCTGCCTCTACTTCACAGTTGCCTCTCGTGTTTAATTGTGCATGGCAATAACGAGCATTTCATGTTGGCCCGTGAAAACCCACTCCCTAGATGGTTTGCCAGCAAGCTAGCATCCCTTCTCTCCTAGTTAACTCCCGCTGCGGCAACAGAATTACTACATGTGCGAACACGGAGCCATTGATTCTCCTTAAGATTGGAGGCTAGAAATCCAAATTCACAGTGCTGGCTCTAGGGAAAGCTTCTTCCGGCATCTGTGGGCCCAGCATTCCATGGAGATCTCCATGTCTTGGCATCAGTCTCCGCTAGGTATAGCAGGTTCTCAGTGCAGGGACCCCGGGTCCTTCAGAGGTGCTTTGTTCCCCTCTCTTCTTGTTTGGTGGTAGTGGGGACCCTCCTCTGCTCACTTCCTCCTTTTGTCTCTTGTACGATAAAGTGGCATTGTTCTGAACTATAAATTCTCACTGCCCCAGAAAGTTACCGAGAGCAAGTCTGAACAGACCCCTTAAGTTGTCTCACCTTGCTTCCCCACCCCATCTCCAGATCCTGAAATTCTAAGAAGACCAGCAAAATTATTAATGAAGCATGGTGTTTCTTTTCTGTGATGCCATAGAATAATTGGTTTTTAATGTGCCCATTACAATAAAGTGGACATTCTATACAGTAATGGCATGTTTACTCTAGAAGATTTTGAGTAATTTTACTTTCCAGTTAATTCAGAGAATGGCTTTATGATCTGTGCTCAGGTTGCATTTTGTTAATCCTGTTGATCCCTTGATCAGAGGTTCAGAGTGCAGCTCTGTGGGAATAAGGAATGCCAGCGGGCGTGTCTCTACGTCAGAAATTCTAGGCATGTAAATTTGCAGGCCTGAAAAACTTGACAAGGACCAGACCCCTCCAGGCTGGCTCGCTGGTTGGTTGGTTGGTTTTCATGTGCTCTGGGCATTCCCTTTGTGCTAGCTGAAATAGCCGTGTTGAACTCTGACTCTTCATAGAAGTCCGTTGAACGGTTGTTAGCTTCTGCTGAATCAGCTCTCAATTCCTGGCCATGCCATGCACAACAGACATTTGTAACCCCTGTAGTTTTCCGCTGTAATTGCCAGCCCTTTCTTCCTAGTCCGTCTTAGTCGGGAAACCCTGCTGTCCAGCAACCTAACAACCCTGCCCTTCTCCGCTGAGAGATGGCCAGTGGTCATGGGCAAGCCTGGGCCTGCCCCATGGATGAGAGTCCACCACTGACCACCAGTGCTTGGATTGAGATGGAGTTGAGAACCCTTAAATGTCTTGTTTCTTTTGGGCAGTATCCTCATTTTCCAATAAAATTAAAGATACTTCTCCACTAATACCCTCAATGTGTTTTTGCTTTCACCTTCAGGTTTGAGAAGCGGATTTACATTCCTTTGCCTGAGGCCCATGCACGAGCAGCCATGTTCAAGCTGCACTTGGGGGCCACACAGAACAACATGACAGAAACGGACTTCCGAGACCTGGGCAAGAAGACCGATGGCTACTCGGGTGCAGATATAAGCATCATCGTGCGTGACGCACTCATGCAGCCTGTGAGGAAAGTCCAGTCGGCCACTCACTTTAAAAAGGTACCTCCTCCTCCCATGGATGGTGTTAAAATCAAGTTTGGAGACCATCAGAGGTTTCTCCCCAGAGGATTTGGGAGCAGCTTCACTGTCCTGTGACGGCAGGAGCACGTGGCTCAGTGGCTACAGCTCCAGGCTCCTAAGCAGAATGGAAGGCCAGTGCTCTGAACACACCTGCTGCTCTATGGGAGAAGGCTGTGGTCCTCTGCGTCCCTACAGATTGACGGCCCTGGCAACCTGACGGGACAGTGCTCTGAACTGTGGGGTCCCTGTGGGTCGGAATAGACTCAGTAGCAATGAGTTGGGTTTTTTGGTTTAGTGTAGTAAGTGGACTACATTTTCTTTATTGAAAATAAGCTCCCAAACTAACTTTCATTTAATTAATAGACATTATTAGTTGTCCTAAAATGTATGTGTTTTCTCTGGAATGATTTTCGCAGCATCTCAGTATCAGTGTCTTGCTTAAGTGTGGACACGGCCTTTGGTGTCAATAGAAGATCCTAGATCCGAGTGTGCTGTAGCGGCTGCTCACCAACCGATGAGGGTGGTGACGGCCGGTCTCTTGCCCTATTGGAGCCACCACCATCCTGACAGACTTACAGTGCAGTGAGTTTGTCTAAAACAAAACTGAAAGTCATCGCAGCCCTTGATTTGTGATAAAGGTGTGGCAAACTAATTATTTGTATTTGACTGTGTGTGAGACACATTCTTTTTCTGGATGATGTTAATACTCTGCTTTAAATCAGGAATCATACAGGCATTTAACTTTACACTGGTAGGATTTTTGTTTTTTAACTTTACATTTTAAACTGAAGAAATTTTCATGGAAAAAGCTAGAAAGATTCAGTAATTCTAGATCAGTGTTTCCCTATATCACAGATTTTCCCCCCCTCTGGAAAATAGAAAAAAGTTAAGAGAAGGGTAGAGGTAGGTCTAGTTTTCATTTCTGGCATTTCAAACAAAAAAACCCAAACTCACTGCCATTGAGTCCATGCATATTCATAGCAACCCCACCCCCACCCCCGTTGGTTTCCGAGAGAATAACTGTTTACGTGAGTAGAAAGCCCCAGTCTAACCACGACGCCATCAGGGCTCCGGTTTCTGAAGTTAATAACTCCATGTCAGCATTGGAGAAAAGAGAAGTATTAGGCATCAGTAATGTTCCTTTTATCTATTTTCAAAGTCATTTTTCTTCAATAACCTCCTGAGTCACATAGTGTAGGAAATTTAAAACTATCGAAAACCATCAATAAGACAGTGAAAACCAGCCCCAAACCATCCTGTCACCCAGTGATAACCACGTTTGTTATAAATTCCTGACCTATCTTGAGAAGTGTACATTGTGACAAAGTGTGAATTCTGCATACACTTATGTTTTGTGACTGTCCCTAAATCTCAATCTGTATTGTTTGTTACAGGTTCAAGGACCATCACGAGCCGATCCCAACAGTGTAGTAGATGACCTGCTGACACCCTGTTCCCCTGGCGATCCTGGTGCCATCGAGATGACCTGGATGGATGTCCCCAGCGATAAGCTTTTGGAGCCAGTTGTTTGCATGGTTTGTGGTTTGGTTTCCTTTAAGAATAAGTTTAGAGCACTGAGCTTTGTAATTTCCAAAATAAAGATAGAATTTTATTTTCTGATGGATCTTTCTAGGACCCCTGGTGACATGCTGGTTATGGGTTGGGCTGTAATCCACAAGGTTAGCAGTTCAAAACCACCAGCCACTCAGAGGGAGAAAGCTCTCATAGAGAGTGACAGTCAGGGAAACTCACAGGGGCAGTTCTACCCGCTCCTCTAGGATCGCTATGAGTCGCCATCCACTCCATGGCAGTGAATGTAGTTTGGTGAGTTTTTATGCATCTTTCCGGGTTAGCTGGAAGGTGTTAGCATGATCAGGCATGTTTATGTAATCCCTTCTTAAGAAAAACATCACCAAACCCACTGGGGGAAAGTCAGATCTGACTCCTCGCTCCATGGGTTTGCAAAGCTGTAACCTCTATTAAAGCAGACTGACATACCTTTTGGTTAGTAGTCACAGACTTAAAACATTGCCCTCCTGTGGTGGCTATGGAAATACCTAATACCAAACTCACTACCATGGAGTCAGTGCTGACACTTAGCAACCTCTCTGTGTGTTTCTAAGACTTTAACTATTTAAGGGAGTAGAAAGCCCAGTCTTTCTCCTGAGGAGCTGCTGGTGGTTTCGAACTGCTGACCATGCAGAATGCAGCCCAGTAATATGTACACTAACTACATCAATATATATGATGTATATGTTTGGTGGGGAGGGTGTTCATAGATAAATTTATATGAGGGGATTTCCAAAAGTATGTGGGGGGAAATTGGGATTAAAAGATAATGGAATTTTTCCATGAACTTTTTGAAACACCCCTAATATGTGCTAATTCCCTTTAATGCTTATCTGAGCAGTTAGTGAGAAACCCTTACTTATTTCAGCCTTAATTTGTTCTTGTTTGAATGGTTGTATTCCTTTTGCATTTATTTAAGAGCAGTGGCTCTTGCTGTAGAATTTTATTCTTAACCAGGGTAAGAAACCAATTGTGAATGCATTTGGAGGGCTTTGATTCTTAGGATAAGATTTTGCTTTTAGTTGTGGTCAGGACAAAAGGAAGAATGAAAGTTAAGGGTTGGGCTGCTAAGCTAAAAGTCAGTTGTTCAACCCCATCAGCTGCTCTGTGGAAGAGAAGTGAGATTGTCCGCTCCCATAGGCTTATGGGCCCACAGACCCTGGAGAACAGTGCTGCTCTGTCCTATACAGTTGCCAGGATTTGGAATCAACTCGATGGCAGTGGGTCTGGGTGGGTTATGTAAAGCAATGACATAATCAGCAAAGTTGGGGATGTTGAGTAGACTCCGACTCATAGCAACCGTGTGTGACAGAGTAGACCTGCCCCCCTAGGATTTGCTAAACTATCATCCTTCCAGGAGCAGACCAGCATGTGTTTCTCCCATGAAGCTTCTGGGTGGGTTCGAACCACTAATCTTTCAGCCAACTGCCGAGTATGAAGCTGCTGAGCCACCAGGGCTCTGCCTTTAGAAAGAATAAGATAGGATCATGGCCGTGATTTCTGGGACACTGTGAATATTCATACTTAACCTGAGGGTAAAACTAACAATAATAACTATAATAGCGTAATGATTTTGATTTTATTAAGTCCAGTATTAATGCTTCCTTCTTTCCTTCTTTCCCCCTGACAGTCGGATATGTTACGGTCGCTCTCTAGTACAAAACCCACAGTAAATGAACATGATTTGTTGAAATTAAAGAAGTTTACAGAAGATTTTGGCCAAGAAGGCTAAACCAAAGACCAAGAGAAGGTTTACCAGATGTATTCTTTCTTTCGTAGATATTTTTACCTTTCTTGAATGGCATTCAGATTATTTCCAGGTTTAAAACTCTTCTGCCACAGGGATATATACTGATCCTCCTCTGGGGTCCCTGATATTTTATATTGTACTTTTCCTCTGTCACCTATTAAATGTTCCTCTTTGCAAAATTCTACAATAGTGATGGGTTGTAAGGAAATGAGTGCCACGTAACTGGTAAATGAATGCAATGGCCCAGTAAAAAGCAGATCAGAATCGATTGAGAGAGAAATATTTACAATTTGTCTGAATGGTGGTCTTTGCATGGAAAGCAGTAACTTTTTTTTTTTTTTTAACTAAAGTGAAATAAGACCTGTCTTTGTGGGGGAAGTCGTCCTCAACATCATTCTTCTCATCAAACTATCTGTGTTTACTTTATTACAAACTTAAAAGTGACAGACTCTTCACTCTCAGGGGCGGGCAAGAGCTGGCAGAACACGCTGCGGGCCACGCTGGACTTGGAGGCTTCTGGTGGTTGCACGGCCGCTGCTCCTCCTGATTTCCCATAGGTCGGCCGTTTTCCGCATGGGGACAGAAACCTTCTCCTTAAACGCAGCAAGGTTTTATATGTAACTAAACACAATGCCTTTCACTGTGCAATCTCAAGGGAGAGACTTTCGGAATGCAGCATTGTCTCCACCTCGAAGCAGAAAATTGTCGATGACAGTGTCTTTTTGTAGCAAGCCTGATCACAACAGTTGGTAAAGACGTATGTGATTTTTGTAAACAACTCTGTCATGAATTACTGTAATAGGAGGCTTTGCTAATGGAATGGCCTCCCTTGGATTATGGGCCGTTTCTTGTATATGATGGGGTGTGTATTTGTGTCTGCACGTGTGTATATGGAATGCACACGTATAGATTTTTTTAAATATGGGAAAGAGTCTTGTCTATGACCTTTTAAGTTCAGGGAACAGCTCTCCCTGGCCACACAGATATAACAGTGTGATGCTTTATGAAACTTTGGAAATGAGCCTGTGTCTCATTAAATAATAAAGTATACACATGGTATTTTGTTATTGTAATACCTTCAAATAAATCATCTGAAGATGGGTGTTGCAACAATTTAGCCCCGACACTAAATTGTGCCTTGTACATTTGCATTGGCGATACATGCAAACGATTATTGGTAGCGAGGGCGAGGTAGATTCCTGACTTAACACAAAGTTCTACCTTGCAAATGCTATGGAATAACTTACATTTTAAAGAATATTTGCACATTTTACATATTATGCTATTTGGTTGCCTTTGGTTTTCTGTACAGATTTTCTGGTTAAGTTGGAATCATAGGCCTGAGATGCACTGTCCTTATGTGAAATATATTGGTATCACCTACTGTGGCTTTGTTTTGTGTCTGCTGCTTTATTTGAGAGCCTTATTTGTTAGGGAAAATGATGGCTAAACTGATTAGATACAAAGGTATCATTTTTTCTCTTA